CCCCCCCCCCCCGGTATTGTTTAATGAATTGTTATAAAATCCCTTTCCTTATGTCTCCTACTGAGTCTTGTACATTGTGTTTTTTGCAAAGTAGGGCTGCAGCCTGGGGGATTCAGACTGTTTTGCTCAAAAAATAATGTCCCCAAGCTTTAGATTTACTTGCAAAGATGTTTTATGAGGCATAAGGAGGCTCACTGGTGTAGAACATGCTTTGCATAGATCAAGTTGTGGGTTCAGTTTCCAACATCTCCCACTAACAGATGTCAGACAGGTCTCAGGAAAGTTATTGTCTAAGAACCTGGAAAGCTTTTGTAAATCGGAGATGAGAACAGTGGATAGGCAGACTACATATTTACGATATTTTTCTGTGTATAATCCAAAATTAAGAAATCTAAGTGGGGCTTAGCAAGTGTGGGGAAAAGGGATAAAAGTGTAGCAGAATCGCTTTGATCCCTGCTTTCCCCTCCACTTGTTTTTGTTCTTTCCTCAGCTTACTTCCGTGTATAAGTCAACCCTCAATTTTTAGTCTAAAGATTTTAGGCAAAAGTATAGTCTTATACACGGGAAAATACGGTATTTATTTTTATTTGCACCCTGAAATTCGCCAGCCAGAGCCAACGTAGGGCTGGCCCAAGACACTTTGCTGTCTGAGACAGAGTAACAAATTATGCCCAGCAGCCAAGTTTCATCTGAAAGCTATCCAAGTTCTTTTAGCATATGAGGCAATAAATCTCACAAGAACCTCCATCCGTTCCTGATAGTAAACGTAGAACTAAGTAGATAACTAAGAATCTCAGTCTGCGTCAGCCTCAAATTTCAATTGACAATGTCTCATCCCATTGTGCCTGGGTACCAGAACCAAATGGAAATCAGAGATATTTCACACAACAGTCTACTCCTGGGTAACACAAAAGAAAAAATAATTCAGGGTAATTATAATAATTGCAAAATTACATAATATCAAGTTGGTTCCAAGTTATGGTGAGGCTTACTTAATATCAAGTTGGTTCCAAGTTATGGTGACTCTTTGCAGGCTTACTTAGGTATAGAGTATGCAGAAGTGGTTTACCATCCCCTTCTTCCTTTGTTCTGAGGTGCAATGGGACTGTGCTGCTTGCCCAAGACGACACAGGCTAGCTCTTCTCCTCACTGATCTATCCAAGTCAACCATTCAGCGTTATAGAAGAATATGTACACATCAGGGTTGGCAATGTGGGGTGTTCCAAATGCTATTAGACTGCAGTTCCCACCAGCCCCAGCCAGTATAAGCAGGGAGGAAAGTTGGGTTTCTCAGTGCAGCAACATCTGAAAGATGCTCTTACATAGGCACTACACTTGCAATGGCAGAAGATTTTGGGGTGCAAACTCTGAAAGACAGACCAACACCAATGGGACCTTTTTTGCCCATGCAAATATCAGGGGAAATCTGGATTTAGAAAGCAGTGGTGGCAATGGATTAAAATACGGTTCTGATGTTTAGTCTCTGAAAATCATTTACGCAGTACTTTCTTTTGTAGATGGTGTAGTGTTTATAGTTTGCCTCTTAATGGAAGTAAGCTTTGTATGGGTCAGCCAAATAATCCATTCTGCTTTAAAGGACAGGCCAGTAGAAAGATAGTGAACTCTGCCCAAAACCGGAATCTGGAAAACTTACTTTTTCAGCTATAACTCCCTGAACCCCCCAGCTACTGACCATGGTGTCAAAATTAAAAATCCTATGTCCTGCCCAAAATGACACTGAGACAAAATAGCAGAAAGAAAATATACAGCACATTGATTTGACCAGGTTGCTCTCATCTTGAACATTCATCCTCCTGGCTGTGGACCTCTCCTCTCAATTCTAAAGGCCCCTGTGAGTACTGAAATCTCTTTTTATCCACAGTGGATGGACACCTACCAAAATGACCTCAGCCTTTGGCATGTTCAAGCCTACGACGCTAGCCTCCTCCTCTTTCTCCTCCTCTCAAACCATGAAATGTTTTGTACACCACGGTGTTCCCACCAACCCCATAAATTTCTTTTAAAATAGAAATCAAACCAAGAATCTGGATTTATGAATGCACACTCATCCTCCTAGTTTTTCATAAAAAAAGCTAAAAACTGGCTTAAACCAACCAATGTTTCCACCTCATCCTCTTTTCTTTCTGAAATCTCTAAGGATGTCCCAGAGACCATTATAAATGAAAGAATGAAGGGGTCCCCATTTTTGGCTTTCAACTCTGCAGCCAATCCAGGCCACAAGGATTCACAAGTTAGTTCAACATAATGGTCCTGCATCTGGCCTTTGCACTGGGACCCAGGAATGGTAAATACAAATCAGGCTTGTTTGCTATTTACAATGCAATCCCATGCATGTGTACTTAGATGTAAACCTGTTATGTTTCATAAGAATTACTTCTAAGTAAGCATGCATAGTATAAAGCACAGCACATTGTGCGGGACTGCTGTAAGTAAATGTGCATGGTGTACTGCACAATAAAACAAAGAATACAGTGCATTGTATAGGAATCCAGCCAAAATCTAGACAGAGGCACTGTCCTGCAAGAACAGGATCTTGACCTGCCTCCAGGATCACCAAATCTCCTTGCTCTCTGAATCTGCTCTCCGCCCCACCTCTTCTATGATTCTAATAGGGTGTTTATCAGAAGCATTTAAAGATGGAGGACGCGATATCTGCTTCCTCCCAACAAATCAACTGTTTTTGCACTGACGCCACAGACTGAAAAATAGTTTGAAGACAACCCATCAACAACACAATGCAACAGGGCCACTCCGAGACACAAGGGATCGGCTGGGAAGAGCCACTTACTGTAAGCAAAGCAGACATCATCCGCCACTTAATGGGAGTTAATATTTCTTTCGCTGATGTTCTTCCGTTTCAATTATTTCTCCGACACTTGGATCTGCTTTCTTGGGAAAAGGAAGGCCAAGGATCTCAAACGTGGTGCGGCTTCCCACCGGCTTGCTGTTTCTTGGGCCATCTGAAGAAAAACATGCCAGGAAGGGGAAGGAATAAACAGTAACCCCAGAGGCTCTGGACCTTTTTCATTTCTTGCAGAGGGGAAGGGAAAGAGCTCTGGAGTTGGTCTGGCAAGTTTTCTGGCGAGGCACAAGGGAACACCCAGAACACATGGCAGGCACGACGAGGGGAAGCCACCCGAAGCCCTCCCTCCCTCCCTGGGAGATGGATGGCCATTTCAGAAGTCAGGACGGCTTTGCAGCATCTTTACCCATTGCACCGCACAACCCCCTGGGATTAGGGAACACGGGGGGGGGGCTTCGTTGTGGGGATCTCTGCACATCCCCCTCTCAGCATCCTTGGGATGTTTCTTCAAAGGATGGCGAGCGGGGCACTGATTCCTAAAAGGGAGGGGGGTCGTCACTGGTAGATGAGGGGGTAATTTCCTCAGTCCTGCGGGCCTCTGAAGAGCGGGAGAGGGCTGGCTGTTGCACATCCTCTGCCTCTTTCCGATGGATTCCTTCACCTCCTGCTATGAGAGGGGGCACAGCGCCAAATGGTTCGGTCCAGTTCTCCAGTTTTGGAGATGGGGGGGAAGAACCTAAAAGGGAGGGGGGTCGTCACTGGTAGATGAGGGGGTAATTTCCTCAGTCCTGCGGGCCTCTGAAGAGCGGGAGAGGGCTGGCTGTTGCACATCCTCTGCCTCTTTCCGATGGATTCCTTCACCTCCTGCTATGAGAGGGGGCACAGCGCCAAATGGTTCGGTCCAGTTCTCCAGTTTTGGAGATGGGGGGGAAGAAAAGAGCCCTGAAAACCCAGCCCCACAAGAGCCGCGAAGCCCCCC